AAGAGAGGAAGGAAAATAAAAGGGACTTCTGATTTTCCGTCTGTTAGTTCTGTAAAAGATATGATTCAAAATATTCACTCTAGAATGACACCCAGCTGATCTACTTTCTGTTAGGCAATGTTTTCCCAATCTTCCAACCCAAATAGATTATTTTACATGAGAAGTCCAAAATGGGTTCTCTAATTATTATTATTAATAAATGTTAGCAATAGTGTTCCTCTAATCGAACCTATCAGCTTTGTCTCCAATAAGGTATACTATGTACAATTGACGGATACTGGAAGAATGAAATATAAACTATATTTTACTTCCTTATAAAAGGATTTCCCTTTTTTTAAATGGTGTTGCAGACATATTCCTGTTTTCATTTGTATAATGTTAGAGGGAAGAGGAAAAATCCATGTGCAAAAGGGTGCTCATAGTGAGGGAGACATACAACCAGTTGGCTCAAGGCAAACTCACACAATATTAAATTTATTATGAGTCATCCATATGGAGGCTCATGTAACCAGCATTTATGGCCTGGGTTCAGAAACACATTGATCAAACCACCAGTTGTCTCTTATTGGATCTTTTTATTTGTAGATCAAGCTTTTGCAGGCATTAAGAATATGAGAGCTGCGAGGTGCACAAGAGAATATACTAGACAGAGAGCTACAATTTCATATATAGAGGTGATCTGATATACCAAGCAGATGTTTGCCATTTGGGTATATGTATGTTAATTGAGCAAGGACTTTTGATGACGTCTGTTGCTGCAAAGAGATAGTTATCAGTTTATTGTGATTGTCTTCCATTCCCATTATAGGCTTGGGGTTCTGACTGCAATCATCTTTAGGCATGTGTGTCACTGTATGTATTAATTGTTTGTAAAGGGGGATACTTGAAAAGAAAGGGGACGGGGGAAGCTGCAGTGAGAGGTAGAGATGGATGAATCTATCCATTTCAGTTTCTCCATTTATCATTTTTTACAATCATAAATCCCATCTTTTTCAATAATTCCTCATGCAAATTCATCTGCTTTTGACCAATGTACATATTTTTGCGAGCACTTTCCCTTAATATAACTCATTTTTGTGGGTTGTTTCCACTGACATGCATTTTAGGTCCACTTTCCCCTAATATATGCATTTTTGTACACACACTTCAGTTTGAGAATGGCACTGCCTATTTCAGAGAGATACACACTGCAAACGATAACCATGTTTCTGTTTATGGATGGTTTGGGAAGTATGAATTAGGTGGTTCCTTATTAAAAATGCAAATTAAATCAAATTCCTCTCCCACTGCTAGCACAAGGGTTTAGCCTGTCCCCATCAGCCAAGCCCACAGCTTGATATATAAAGGATGTGCATAAATCCTCTCCTCTCTTTTAAAAAATGGTAAATAAAAGCGGAACATATGAACCACGGGAATGCAGGGGGTGGGGAAATGGATCAAAAATGGTGGTGGTGGTTCTTCTTTGGACAGCTCCTATGCTCTGTTTCCTCCTCCAGAAGTTCCCTTGAGATGAAACTCCATCCAGGGGTCGGCATCATCCAGGTAACCACCAAGGGCCACACCAAGGGCCACTGCTCCTCCCTGCAGATTCCTGCTCATTGTCAACTTTGCTATTGCTGCCTGTGTTCACACATTGTGTCTGAGCACACAAGCAATGAAGAGAGTAAGGCAGCAGTACATCAGTGCCATTGATCTGCCTTGTACTCTCCCTCTGGTGAGAGAGGAAAGAGAGAAAAAGAGAACAAATGAGTGATCAGCTGTGCCTTGGCGAGGAGGAGTGAGGTCAGCAGAAGCCAAGGCTCCCTCCCCTCAAAAAGATGGGATGAAGCACTTGCCTTCCATGGGGAAGAGCTCATGTTTAATCTCTGATATTTTAGTAATCACAGGAAAGACTGGGGAAAGTTTGCCTCATACCCTCCAACTTTTCTCTGATGAACATAGGGACGTCCCATTCTATTATTATTATTATTATTATTATTATTATTATTATTATTATTATTCCCCATCCATCTGACTGCCCAACCACTCTGGGCGGTTTCCATCATATAAATAATAATAATAATAATAATAATAATAATAATAATAATAAAACATTAAACATTTAAAAAAACTTCCCTATATACATCCTTCAGATGTATAATTGTATACAGTTACTTATCTCCTTGGCTCAGAGGTAGCATGACTCCATACCCTCCAACATTTCTCCAATGAAAATAGGGATGTCCTAAGGAAAAGCAGGACATCCTGGGATCAAATCAGAAACTGGGGTGGTTTCTGTAAATCTGGGACTGTCCCTTGAAAATAGGGACACATGGAGGGTCTGTTACCTGGTACCCCAAAAACTCACAGTCATTGTCAGCGATACCAAACTAAATGGACCAATGATTTTAAAAAATTTTTTTAAAAAATTGTATGCCACAGGGCTGTAAATAAAACCTCTTAAGTGTTTTACCCCACCCTACCCCTCCCAACCCCCCCAAAAATATGCATTAAAATTATCAATAAACGTCCAAGTCTAAGGCAGATTCCTGGGTTTCTGTGACTGTGGCTGACACTTGTTCCATAATTATATGGCAAAGAAGTAAATGGGTGGCCACCTAGCTCGATTCGTAGTGAGACTCTTAATCTCAGGGCCATGGATTTGAAACTCACATTGGGCAAAAGATTCCTGCATTGCAGGGGGTTGAATTATATGACCCTCATGGTCCCTTCCAACCCTACAGTTCCATGAGTCTATATAGGAGTGGAGTCACCAGGTCCAGGAAGGAAAGTAAGGTAAAGGTAAAGGGACCCCTGATCATTAGGTCCAGTCATGACCGACTCTGGGGTTGCGGTGCTCATCTTGCTTTATTGGCCGAGGGAGCCGGCGTACAGCTCCTGGGTCATGTGGCCAGCATGACTAAGCCGCTTCTGGCGAACCAGAGCAGCGCATGGAAACAAGCGCCATTTACCTTCCCGCCGGAGCAGTACATATTGATCTACTTGCACTTTGATTTATCTACTTGCACTTTGACTAGCAGTGCTTTCGAACTGCTAGGTTGGCAGGAAGGAAGGAAAGTACCACCATAAAATTGGTGGCAGAAATAAAGGTGTGCTGGGGTGGTTTGTGGACACCATCCATGCCCACCCCCTTGCAGATGTCAGGTTGAAATTTCTTCTGGGAGAACCTGTGTGTGCTTGTTTGTTTGTTTGTTTGTTTGTTTGTGTGTGTGTGTGAGAGAGAGAGAATTGAATAAATAATGAGCTTCCAGTTGTTAAACCACAACTTTCTTATTATCTCCCCCACCCCAAGGTACCAATTATCCAAAGATACAAATAATCCAAGTGATTTTCTTTCTTTTTTAAAAAAAAGAGAGAGAGAAGGGAAAATACCTATTATCTAGATAAAAAAATTCTTCTGGCTGCAGGATAAATCTGGAAGAATCCTGGGCATAGAAGGGGGGGGGAGAGGGAGAGGGGAGAATGAGAGGGAGGGAGAATTTTAAAGGTTATTTATATTGTCTGACAGTGGAATGTGACATTTTCTCCCTGGAAAACGAAAATAGCCAGGAAGCAGATGAGCCTGGCTTGAGGTGAAAACGAAGAAAGGAACAAAAAGTACATTTTAATGAGACATTTACAAATTGTTCTGCACAGAGAGATCCACAATGTAGCAGCAGTTTGTCAGGGAACACGGTGCAGATGTCTCTCTTTGGAGTTTGTCCTGAAGCAGTGTTGCTTCAAAATACACAAGCAGGACTCCACGCAGCAGACTTGGCTTCCGCTGTCCCTTTGGACGTGGTTGGTGTTGCCCTGCCTTTCATTCCAACACAGAATGGGCTCCCACTGCAACAAATTTTCCCCATGGGAAGAGTATATACTAGGGGAGATGGATAATAGTGTTTCTGAGTATGCCATCAGGGCTTCCTCTGCGTAGGAGACAGTTTTTTGGCGCAGTACTTGATGGCGGTGGGGCTTGAAAAGGCAACGCGGGAGGTGAGGAAGTGATGATATCCCAGTGGAGGTGAAATCAACATCGAGCATTGTTATTTCTTGTTTCTTGCCTCAGTGTGACAGTTCTTTAAGCAGCAGGGGAGCTCCTCTGGCCAAGGAGAGAGGCTGTCAGAGGAAATGTGCCTCTGGAGCCTGGCTTCTCTGCCTACCAGGCAAGCAGTTTCAGTGGAGACAGCGCTGTGCAATGTAAATGGGACCTGCGGCAAAACATTGCAGGGGACACTGCTCCTAATCTGGGTGTCAGCCTGCCATGCCCTTTTGTTATGGTGTTTCATTCCATTCTCTCATTCCCCCTCCCCCCAGTTGTCAATATTCTGCTGCCCGTGGGCATACCCAGTAACTGAGAAGGAGTATCCCTGTATACTGATACTTTCCTTCGGATCCAAAACTGCTTCTGCCCCATCTCTGCCCTGCCCCTGAAATGCCTCATTTTGGACTGTAATGCTGGCTGCCACAGTAAGAAAACCCCCAGCGTAGATCTGCACTTGTAGAGCTTCCCACAAAAGCAATCAGGGACCTCAGCATCAGGCAGCAGTGCCAGGTTACCTTTCTCCCATAGCTCTCATTTCCAAATTAAGCCCTGCATAATTTACACACCCCACATAATTTGCATGTGTGTGTAAAATCATGCAAGTCTTTAATTGTGTTTGGAAAATTTCTCAAACTTATTTATTTTTCAAAATAAAATTACACCCCACTTTCACCTCCACCAATATAAAAGCAAAGAATCAAATTAGCAGCCATCTAATTATTGTAGCACAAAAGCAGCAGCAAAAAAAAAAAAGAAGCAGAAATTTGGGACTGATGTCCATTGACTAAAAGCCAATCTCTCCTACATGTTATTTTATTGTCAGTGAGTTTCTCTGAATTTATTTATTCTCCCTTCTCAGCCTACCTGCTGTTTTTTCTTGGGGGGGGGGGAGGAAGCACTTTTTTCATTCCTGTTTGTTGCTCACTTAGGAGAGATGTTTTTGAAGGGCGGAAAAAACCCATGTACTGTGAACAGGGCTGTAGCTCTGTGGTAGAGCATTTGTCTTACATGCAGGGGGTCCCTGGTTTGATCACCAGCATCTCCAGGTCATTGTGCATATTCACCAGGCCTCTTGGAGAATGTGCACACCATTCCATCCACGAAGAAAGAACTGTGCACATGCGTTGAAGAATGTGCATCCATTGACTGGATTTTTGTACCAGGATATTCCCGGGGAACTGAAGGAGGCAGTGGTGCGCCCGCTCTTAAAGAAAACATCATTAGATCCCTTAGATCTATCCAATTACCGCCCGGTTTTGAATCTTCCATTCCTGGGTAAGGTGATTGAGAGAGCGGTTGCTGAACAGCTTGGTAGGTTTCTGGATGAAACATTGGCTCTGGGTCCATTCCAGTCCGGCTTCCGCGCTGGTCATGGGACCAAGACGGCTCTGGTCGCCCTAACAGATTATCTCCGCAGGCAGCTGGATCGAGGCGGGTTGGGGCTGCTGATTCTTCTAGACCTGTCAGCAGCCTTCGACATGGTCGATCACGAACTCCTGGACCACCGCCTTGCCGACGTGGGGATCCAGGGCACAGTCCTTCAATGGCTGTGCTCGTTTCTCTCTGTTCGGGGACAGAGGGTGGCGCTTGGGGGGGAATTGTCATCACGCCACTCCTTGGTGTGTGGAGTGCCTCAGGGTGCAATACTCTCCCCGATGCTTTTTAACATCTTTATGCGCCCCCTCGCCCAGCTTGTCCGGAGTTTTGGGCTGGGTTGCCATCAGTATGCCAATGACACCCAACTCTATCTGTTGATGGATGGCCATCCTGACTCGGCCCCAGACACACTGACCAGCTGTTTGGAAGCTGTGGCTGGATGGTTACGTGGAAGCCGGTTGAAGTTAAATCCTTCGAAGACAGAGGTCCTCTGGCTGGGACGGGACAATATGGGATTGGGGGGGGCAACTCCCATCTCTTGCGGGGTGCAATTAGTGCCAGCACCGTCCGTTAAGAGTTTGGGTGTAATCTTTGATACCTCCCTCTCTATGGAGGTGCAGATTACAGCTATAACAAAGGCGGCATTTTTTCATCTCCGCCAAGCTAAGCAGTTGGCCCCTTATCTCTCTCGCCCTGACCTAGCCACTGTGATCCACATGACGGTCACCTCCAGACTGGATTATTGTAACTCGCTCTACGTGGGGCTGCCCTTGAGACTGACCCAGAAACTCCAGCGGGTGCAGAATGCCGCGGCGAGACTCCTTATGGGGTCTTCGCTGCGAGATCACATTCATCCGGTACTATACCAGCTGCACTGGCTCCCGGTGGAGTACAGGATCAGGTTTAAGGTGCTGGTTTTAACCTTTAAAGCCCTATACGGCCTAGGACCCTCGTACCTACGGGACCGCCTCTCCTGGTATGCCCCACAGAGGAACCTACGGTCTGCAAATAAAAACATCCTGAAGGTCCCAGGCCACAGAGAGGTTAGGCTGGCCTCAACTAGAGCCAGGGCTTTCTCAGCTGCGGCTCCAATCTGGTGGTACGCTCTGTCACAAGAGACTAGGGCCCTGCGGGACCTGACATCTTTCCGCAGGGCCTGCAAGACAGAGTTGTTCCACCAGGCCTTTGGTCAGGGCGCAGCCTGACTCCCTCCTCTGGCAACCTGCACAGAATTTTGCTTAACGGTTGCCATTAATTTGATTTTAATTAATTTTTATAATGAAATGTTTTTAGAATGTTGGATTATTTGATTGTTTGATTATTTGATTGTTGTTAGCCGCCCTGAGCCCGGCTTCGGCTGGGGAGGGCGGGATATAAATAAAATTTATTATTATTATTATTATTCTCCAGTCATTAGGCACACTCTCCAGCAGCCTTGGGGAATGTGCATATCTCCATTGAATTTTGTACATTTCTCCGGCCAGTATGCATCATCCCCCAACATGCTTGGTATGTGTGTGCATTTATGCATATTAATCACTCAAATTGCATTCCCCAATATATCAGTTATTCGGAAAGGGTGCATATATTTTCATCAATGAATAGTTTCTAACACCATTGGTACGATTGTCTTGACTGTGATTATTATTTTACATTTCACTCTATGGAAGCAGTTCATATTGTGATTCAAGAAAGTAGCACTTTGTTACTCATTTCCCCCTTTCCTTTTCAAGCTGGGTCACAACATCCCATTTCATTGCGCTCATTCCATGCAATTGACCGCACACACAACTGCTCCTTTCCCTTCTGCAGTCCTGCACACATCTCTGTGATCATCCTCTCCCTGCCCTCCCCTGGCCTTTTTGGAGTAGAGAGAGTTTGTTCTTTCCTTGCACTGCCCTACCAATCTACAACATCTGTCTTTTTTTACCTTCCTGGCTGTGAGGGATTCCGCCCCCATGTCTGCCCCCTGCAATCTCCCTTCTTCCAACACATTTTTCTTTTGCTTCTTTTCTTTAGCTGATGGCTTTCACTGTAATGTGTCTGTGAACCTCATGGATGCAAGTTATTTTAAAACTATGCCATTTTTCTTTAACTTTATAAAGGGATAAAGGTGTGTTTCAAGAAACAGTGGTGTTTGTCAAACAGATGTTATTCTGTAATGAATAATGGAAGCCATCTGAGATACCTTAAAAATCATCATGGGGTAGTGTGTGTGTGTGTGTGTGTGTGTGTGTGTGTTGTGTGTGCATGAATGATTCAGCAGGGATATAGTATTCCCCAAATGTCCTTTTCTGAACAATGTAAATAGTAGATATAAAGAGTCTGCAGATGTGTTTGGTCCAGGAGCTCTTGAGGAGAAATGCTACACATCTTTATCTCCAGACTCTTATGTTGACAGATCTTGATTCTGTGCCCTGCTGAGGTTTTCCACATAAAACCTCACATCACTAAGCTGCAGAAAAATAGAGTCAGGAGTGTGATTTATGTAGAAAACATCAAAATCCGGATAGAAAGCATTGTTGCCTCTGTTCCAAGCAGGCAATTTTTGGATATTTAATGTTCAGATAATTTGTTATACCTGTGGCAAGTAAGATGGCATGTACAAGCCATTCACATCCCATTGACTATCAGGCCATGTCTGCACATGACCTTTAAAGCACGTTGATACCACGTTAAACAGTCATGGCTTCCCCTCACAGAGCTGCAGTTCTCAGAGTTCCTTGAGAAGAAGGATTAGTTGGTAAACCACTATGGGGATTGTAGCTCTGTGAGGGAAATAGAAGCCTCCTAACAACTCTCAGCACCCTTAACCACCTACACTTCCCATAGTTATTTGGGGAAACCATAATGGCCGCACTGGATTGGATGAGGTAACCGTTAGGTGGATTTGTAGGTGGTTGACTGACCAAACCCAAACAGTGTTCACTAATGGTTCCTCACATCCTGGGGAAAAAGTGACAAGTGGAGTGCTACAGGGTTCTGTCATGGGCCTGTTGTCATTCAACGTCTTCATAAACAACTATGATGAAGGTATCGAGGGGATGCTCATCAAATCTGCAGATGCAACCAATGCTACAGGAGACAAGACTGGGATTAAAGATGGCCTAAACTGATTGCAGAACTGGGCAAAACTAATAAAATGAATTTCAATAGGAACAAATGTTAGGTTCTACACATGGGCAGGAAGAACCAGCTTTATAAGTATAAGATGAGGGGCACTTGGCTCGCCATTAGGACATGTGACAAGGATCTAGGGGTCTGGAAACCAAGCCTTACGAGGAGTGGTTGAAGGAGTTGGGTATGTTTATCCTGGTAAAGAGGAGACTGAGAGAAGATATGAGAGCCACCTATAAATATCTAAAGGGCTGCCACATGGAAGTTGGTGCAAGCTTGTTTATTCCTGCTTCAGAGGCTAGGACGCAACTGAATAGATTCAAGTTACAAGAAAGGAGATTCCAACTAGACATATTCTGAGTTTCCCAGGTGCATCAGAAATGGTTTGTCTGCCCCATACATTCTATCAGAAATGGTTTGTCTGCCCCATACATTCTTCCAGCTGCCCTTACTATCTACAAACACTCCACACTCTTCTTCCCTTTTCTCGAAGCTGGATAAGTGGGGCAATATTGGAGGAAAGGGTATATATTTTTCCTCCGTCCTCTGAACTTAGGAACATAGAAACATATTCAGACAATGGGTCAATCTAGCTCAGCATTGTCCATGTTGACTTGTAGCAGCTCTCCTGGAACATCATTCCCAGCCCTACCTGGAGATGTCAGGGATTGAACCTTAAATCTTCTGTATGCAAAGCAGATGTTCTCCCACTGAGCTATGGCCCTCCCCTTATGGCTCTGCTGGCTAACAGCATGCTGGAGTGCTGAGAAGTATGGGAGATACAGTTCTACTAACAGCTTCTGCCATGGCAAAAGTAGCAGCTGCTACTTTTACAGCCCAGCCCACCTTCAAGGTAAGAAAAAAGTGGGAGGAGAATGTGGTGTGTGTTTGGGAGGTGGAGAGGCTGGCTCTTGGGGGATGAGCAATGGCAGAAGACGTGGATAGGGGCAGCACTGGAAATTCTTTCCTGGCTTAGATTTTAATCTAATCCATAGAAGAATGTAGTGGTTAGAGAATGTCTTGGGGGCTTATAAAGCTTGCCTCTTGTTTTGCCTCTATGAGCCCCTGAAAGTTTGTTTCCAAGGCCAAGTTCAGTGAACATCACCAGCATCTTTATGGTGCCTCCAACACTGAGCTGAGTGTGTGGGAAGATTCATAACAAAGCCCAGGTACATCCCTGCTCTGTTCTCCCTTATATGAATTATCTAGATCAGCTGACTAATATGGCTAGAGCATGTAGCTTATCAGGAAGTCAGCTGACCACCTAGCTGCCATGGTTAAAGCTGCTACCCACGTGGCACTATCATCACAGTTTTGTCTGTTGGGTTGTCTCGGTTTCTTTCACAAGGCCCAGTTCTCATCTAGAACACATGAAAAGTGAAGAAGGGATTTGTTTTTTTAAAAAGAAAAGTTGAATTACTCACTTTTGTTTTAAAACAAACAGTCGTCAAATCTAAATCCTTAAGGGTGATTACTTGGCTTTGTGATTTGTTTATCCTCACTCGAGGGAAATTTCACTAATAATTCTCACAAAGGCTCCCTGCTTGTTTATAGTGCTTTGCTGTCGTTTTCATTAACGGCAAATTGTTCAATATGATGCTAAACTGAACTATATTAGATCAGCTAGAAATCTTTGCAGGCTCTCAAAGGCTGGCCATTATATATTCAAAACAGGGACCTAATGTTTCAGAGTTTCATATTCTACTATAATTATATGGTTCAATGCAAGTGATTATATCTCTTCTTCAGTATCAGACTGAAAAGTTTTGGTTAGCTGGCTCCCTCGTAATTTACTGCCTCGGCATAATGGGCCAGCCTTGTGGAAAAAAAGATGATAAATGACGCTGGCGAGGATTCATAGATTTATTAAATTTCTATCAAACTGTGCAACAAAAAAAAATCTGCTTAAGTTAGAAATAGGCTCAAATTTTTTAATCAAAATTCATGAGTCCCGGTACTTGCTTCAGTAGGTCCGAGGAAGGCTTGAATTGAAGACTGATTAAAGAAAATAAAAGGTTTATTTGAAGTAATTTTTCAATGACGGCTTTTAATTGGATGTTAAATCAAATCCTTATCTTCCTTTCTGCAGATAGCACATTATATAAAATACAGTTAAGGGCTTTACCACTGTAACTGATACACGGAATAACAATTGACTTCTCACTTTGTGCTGTGAGGGGAAAAGGGCACCAATTGTCAACCCGTCAGAAATTACGTATGTAAATTAGTTCTGAAGTTGACGGATATAAAGATGACTTACAACCTTGCTCTCAGTACTTCCTGGGGGCGTGGGATACCTGTTTAGATTCTCCCTGAAGGCTAACCATTGTTTTGCTAACCTTTACAAGTGTGTGTCCACAAACCATCCACCAGCCCTCTCATCTCTTTTGCTGATCTTACGACTTTAGGCATTTCAAATAGGACATGTTTTACCCTTTGGGAGTCATTTGGCCTATATATGTTAGTTTGTTCCCAAAGTTTGCTCTCCTTCCCTTAAAATAGGGGTGGGGATCTGTCATCCTCTGGATCTTACTGGTCTACAACTATCATCATCCCTGAACATTGACCGTAGTGGCTGGAACTCTTCATGTAGTAAGTCCACCAAAAGTCCCTCCACCGAAAAAAGCCCAACAATTATTTGTACCTCCACAATTAGCTCTGTTAACGATTCTTGATGGGAGAACTCTTTTTTTGGTCATGAGTTGCCCTGGGGTTGGCCCCTTTTTGGCTGGGCAAGACTCATCAGTAGTTTTCTAAATTGAATCAGTCATACATTTATAAATCAAATGAGTTTTGCCCGTCCTTCACCTCCCACCATTCAGTTTCCAGGGAAGACCCTGAGTTCTAGCACTGCAAGAGAGGGAGAGAAATGCAGGATTCTGGCTCAGCTGGGACCATCATTATATAGCTTGAGGCTCTTGATTATCTGTGGCGTGCTTGAATGGGTGGGATGCTTTAATCCTGCCTTTCAAAAGCAGGATTGCCTTTTAGATTCTTTACTTTGCTTTTCTTTCATGCCAGGTTTAACATATGTGTTTCTTTGTTTATGTATTGTAGGCCGCATGGTTAAAAATAGCAACCAATAAATTTAATAAATAATAATAATGGATCCCTACACACTGTCCACAGACTGTGAATATATGTTTCCCTTTCTCCTTTTACTTGCCTCAACCCCCAACTAAAAAAAAGTCCTAAACAATGTGACTTTTCTTCTTAGGGGAGCTCCTTCCACAATTTCGCTACCCTTCAGCTACTTCTCCTCCACTGCTCTCGTATTCTGTTTGCTCCCTTGCTTTCCCAGTCCTTCAAAGTTAATTTTTGTATGTGTTTAATCATCTTTAATTTCTGTTTAACCAGCACATAGCCAATTATCAGCAACATTTCTACCATGCAACTATTGTGTGAAGACCAATATTAACTTCTGACGCAGGACTGCAGAGTTTATTGTGGAAGTGTAATTTTAGGAGGCTGTTCATTAATTTCACACAGCGGCGTGGGACTGGGAGGGGGGAGAATGAAATGCCAGCATGGATAAAGGTGAAAGCCTTCCCTCCCTCCTTTCTTCTCTTCCCTCCCCTTTTCTCCAGTAGATAAAATTAGGAAAGTAAAAGCTTTCACTGTTGGAGACCGACTGAAGCACTTTATAATCGCTATGCTGAGCATTATGATTATTGGTACATTAGTGGGTTTTGAGTGGGTGCATTAGTAGGCCATGCTGTACTTACATCTGTAAATTGGTACAAGGTACAGATCCCATGGAGGCTGGGAATAGGTTTTAGTATATAGGGCTGGTGCAGAGCTCCTTCTGTCCCGTCCTCCCTCCACACTCTCCTTATACCGCAGGGATGGGGAAGATACTCAGTTTGTTCACATGTGAAAATACCTGATTTGCACTTCCTGAAATGGTATGTGAACTGCAAAACTATATTTCTTTGAAATTCATACTTCTCTGAATTTTGCAACTCCAGCCAAATGATGTGTACAAAAGTGTGTATATTAGGGAAAGTGTCCATTAAAAATGCATGCGAAAACTGTATATCGGTGAACAATGCATATATCAGTGAAAATAACATAGGAAACAGCAATATATTCAGGAAGATTGCTTGAGAAACAGTGTATGTTAAGGGAAATTCATGCTAACATGCTGATAAATTTCCATAAGCACTTAAAAAGTAAATAAACAAGCAAAGCACGGATAAGTCATGCACAGCCTACTGTTTTTTGTGGTTCTTTCAAAGCAGGGGCTGGGATGCTGTTTCATTGTGAAGGCCACCTTCTTTCATGGGTGACCTTCCAGGAACCACATCTCAGCTTGGGCAGGGGAAGGTAAAGAGCAGATGGCCACAGCTAGGATAATGGGCAAAGCAATGGATGTGATGCATATATAGGTTTCATTCCAGTCATGGCAAAAGCCAGAGACTTCTGCATACTCATGTCTCTCTTTAGCTTCCATCTAGTGAAGGACAAGGCATTAGTGCAGTTCAAAGACACATCCCCAGTCAGGAAGAAAAAAGAGCAGGGTGGTGATGGGCATGGCCTGGGGAGAGTAGAATTGTCCTGAGGAGAGTCTCCAGGAGCCAGACATGGAGACCTGGAGGTCCAGATTCAGTCCCTGGGCCTGAGGTTCCCTACTGCTGTTCTAAGGCCTCAACTAATCAGAATGGGAACACAAGATTTGCACAGTGTGCTAACACTGTAGATCAGAAGGCAAAGCATACAGTGGCCAGAGTTACAAAAGGAAGTTGGACGTTCATTCAAAGCCAGGAATAAGACCAAAGAAGTAGAAACTGGGGAATCTGTAAGATCCAAATGTCAGTATAATTTTAAAACCCAAAGGGAGACCAGATTGCACTGAATTTCCAGAACACTTGTGACTTTACAGTGGTACCTCGGGTTAAGTACTTAATTCATTCCGGAGGTCCGTTCTTAACCTGAAACTGTTCTTAACCTGAAGCACCACTTTAGCTAATGGGGCCTCCCGCTGCCGCCACGCCACCAGAGCACAATTTCTGTTCTTATCCTGAAGCAAAGTTCTCAACCTGAAGCACTATTTCTGGGTTAGTGGAGTCTGTAACCTGAAGCGTATGTAACCTGAAGCGTATGTAACCCAAGGTACCCACTGTATTTTCAATTTTCAATTGCAGATGATAATCACCTTCTTGTTAAATCTGCATTATCTGTCCAGCATCTGTGGCAGCATAATTAACAAGGAGTGTCCCATTTAACAGTTTGGAAGTTTTAGTGCTTGACCAGATATGCTTCTAATTATAGTGCCTACATTTTGCTGTTTCAATTGTCTTCCTAAATGGACTTTTGCTATCCTGCCAAGAATGTGTCAGCAATGTATTTTAAGAGAATAAAGAAGTTTTCATCATATCCAGTGTATTGGAAAAGACCATAATTTTCAGCAGCGTTTAAGTACATTTTCCCTTCATTTTCTTGTTGTTGTACTATGGTGGTTTCACAATGTGGTCCTTGTTGGGGCATGTGCAGAGTGCCCATTCAACATGCCAGCAGATTGTGCAAATGGAAAACCCAGAATGGGGGTGTAAAAGAAAAACACAGGACAGTTTGGGTGGGGTCAGTTCATTTACTGATAGGCAGTCCAAAGTGTTATGCAGTTCCTCAGCTTAGCAGTTACATACAGTGGACACTCGGGTTGCGAACGTGATCCATGCGGGATGCATGTTCGCAACTCACAGTGTTCGCAACCTGCAGCGGCGCATTTGCGCATGTGCAAAGTGCGATTTAGCACTTCTGTGCATGTGCAATCGCCGAAACCCGGAAGTAACCTGGGTACTTCTGGGTTTTGGCAGGTCCATAACCCAAAAAAATGCAACCTGAAGCATCTGTAACCCGAGGAATGACTGTATAGTCAAGGCATGTTCTTATGCGTAGTGGGAAAGGATCACAACTCTGTGGCAAAGCATCTGCCTTGCATGCAGAAGGTCCTAGATTCAACCTCTGGCATCCCCAGATATGGCTGGGGAAAACCACTGCTTGAAACTCTGAACAGCTGCTGCCACATTTCCAGCTGTTTTGGACTACGATTCCCATAATCCCAAATTTGGGAAACCCTTGGTTAGACAATGCTCAGCTAAATGTACCAGTGGCCTGACTCTGTTTAAGCCTATTTCCTCTGTTTCTAGCATGGCTTTTCCTGCTTCGGTGCATACTCTTGGTTGCTGATGAGCACCCTGCCCTGCTTCTTGTTACAGGCACAGAGATTAATTGAAAGGATCACTTCCCAGTCTGACCGGTTAATCTGATCATGTTGATGACTAAAGTTTATTAATTGCCATCTAATTTGCTGTTGACAAAAGGAACACTGAGCTCTATTCACATTAGACAGAGTTCCGGTCAACTCCACCAGCAACCTACTTAGGCAATTATTTCAAGTCATTAGAACCATATTCATTCTGCTTCTCCTTCTCTTTTTAAAGCCCTGTGTGCTTTTTCCTATGGTTAATTATGATTTTAAAACTTCAAGGGAATGTTTCCGGTTGCTTGAAAGTGCCCCGATCGCAGCCTTTCGACTGACACAGAGGATTAGTTGAGATTTAAACCAGTGACCTCCAAGCTCTGGCTACTGTCACCTTGCTTCATACAAAACACAACAGGGCTGCCTCTGCTCAGGTTACTCTAAATCACAAGTTGATGAGAGGTGACAGGTTCTGCAACGGAGTTTGATTCCTGCCTCCCTGGGCCAAATTCCTTCAAACAGAGGCTAGGGGAGGTCACTTTGTGTGTCCAGAACCAGTGAACTGCGCTCACTGTTATATTGTACAAGCCTTTCATGTGCATGTGTCTTCTTTTCTCTCCTATTTTTTCTTTTTTTCTTTTTGACAAGTGAAGCTCATCTTTGTAAACACCAATGCTTAAGAGAAAGTAATGTCAATACAACCAAAATAATTTTTTTAAAACTGATGATATGCACGAAAGATGAAATATCAATTGTTTATTCAGTATGGCCATACAGATAGTTTAGATATAAATGTGCATATCTGGAACTCATTTTAAAATGGTTCCCATCTCATGTGAAGCAGGTTTCATTGTAAGGATATGCCATTGTTGTAATGCAGGTTCTACCACCATGTTATGCAGGTGGCACTGTGGTCTAAACCACTGAGCCACTTGGGCTTGCCGATTGGATGGTTGGCGGTTCGAATCCCCATGACGGGGTGAGCTCCCATTGCTCTGTCCCAGCTCCTGCCAACCAAGCAGTTCGAAAGCACGCCAAAAGTGCAAGTAGATAAATAGGTACCGCTCTGGCAGGGAGGTAAACGGCATTTCCATGCGCTCTGGCATCCGTCACGGTGTTCCGTTGCACCAGTAGTGGTTTAGTCATGCTGGCCCCATGACCCGGAAAGCTGTCTGTCGACAAACGCCGGCTCCCTCGACCTGAAGCGAAATGAGCACCACAACCCGATAGTTGCCTTTGACTGGACTTAACCATCCAGGGGTCCTTTTTCTTTATCTTATCTTTCCACCACCATGTGAGTATTTCCTTGCAGACTGCACTTTAGCAATTCAGTAACTTCATGGCAAAAAGACTGAGTACAACCCATGAGCTCCGCATTACTGGTGGTTCTTTAATTCCCTGCTGGAAAAACAAAAGCATGCCTTGTAGCACTTTAAGACTGAGCAAATCTATCACAGCATGAGCCATTGGTAGTCAACATGGTGCCCTTCAGACGTTGTCAGGCTATAACTCTTGTCAACCCCAGACAGGGATAACAGGAGTCGTTATCCTGTTGGATAGGCTGGATTCACACAGCAATGTATTCCATTTCCCCGACATTTTACCAACTGTTGATTTCTGTATTATATTTGAGTTTTCACATAATGAGACTCTTAATCTCAAGGCTGTGGGTTCAATCCCCACGTTGGACAAAATTGTCCTGCATTGCAAGGGGTTGGGCTAGATGACCCTTGGGATCTTTTCCAGCTCTACTGTTCTATGATTCTTGGATGAAAAAGATACTTCTGGAAATTTAGTGGAATATAATGGGAGTTTAGTGATCATTTCTGTGTTAATTTGTTCCAGAAACACTCAGTTTGCAACTTCATTGACCCAGAAAATAGTGGGAGTAAAGTGATGAAATTTGGGGTGGTTATACAGGCATACAGCTTTTTCCTGTTATTTTCATGGGTGAATTGTGGATGGTGGGGTTGGGGGGAGAACAGAAGCACACATGTGGAATGGTGAGGGAGTAGTGATGATGTTGTGCCACACCATGCCCAATGGTATGAATGACATTTAGTGCCACAGGCTGATATATTGGTCAAAAAGCCACAGTTCCTTAACACAACAGGTACAGCAGTGGGAAAGGAATGTTAGAAAACAGGACAGAAGTGCTAGCTTTATAATCGGGAAAACTACAGTCCACTTCATCATACCTGACCTCTAGTGCCCAGTAAATGTATCAGTCTTTAAGGTGTCATAAGATTCTTTGCTGTTTTCTGCTGCAGCACAGACTAACATGGCTACTCTTTCTGGAAGTGGCTGCAGTGAAATCTTCCTATGGTTACATTTTATAAGCCATAAGTTCAAGGAGCAACAGCATTTGAGGGTGTGCCATAAAATCATTTACCCTGTCGCCTTGCATGTTCAGCAAACACATGTAGAGCCTAGGATGGAGATAGGGAGCTATTCTGTGCTCGTGGAGAACAAGATTGGGTTATCCACCTGTTATCCACCTTACATCACAATGACTTCAGGTGACTCATTTGTGGCCACTGGCAGTGCACAGCACCTTGAAGCCCTGACAGTCAGCTGGTTGTTAGAGCTTTGAAGCACCACATTGGCCTCTGAAGGGGGGCGGGGAGCTAAGCACATTCATCTGGATGCACTTAGACTCCTCCCTGCGACTGGGAAAGCTGAAAGTGTGATGGGGCAGGGATCTCGGGGGGTGGGACTTGCATGAGTAGCCCTCCTTCCCCTTTCACAGCCTAGAGAGGGCTTTTGCTGCATGTGTTTATATGCAGAGCATCATAAGGAAACAGGGACGGATGAAATGGCATGGCACCAGCAGTTTGTGGCTCACCTTGCCGTTCAATTCAACAGCTCTCTTTTAAAGCACGGAATGGCAATTCATCCTTTAGTCAAGTGACCAGGAAATAAATAAATCACCTCTATGCTAATAGGCAGGCTTCTAGACAGTTACGGGAATGTTTAAGTGAGCAGGAGAGATGCTTGTTCTGCTTCATGTTTGTTTCGGACATAATTAGCCTTCACTCCCACATTTCAGCTGCTCTTCAGACTACAAGAGCGACACTATCCTACTTTTGTGTGTGTGTTTGTTTCACTCAGTTTTTAGGATGGTCACATTCCCTTCGAAGCAAAGAGATTAACTAGAGAAGCTTTCCATGACCTGCCAGCTGTAACTGATGGAAGTTGTAGCCCAAATCATCTGGAGGGCACCCGCTTGAGGAAGGCAGAAGGCAGCACTTGCGCTATACATCTCAAGTGCTGTGATACAACTTTATACAATCATGTTGTTTGTTAAGGGTGGTAGTAGGAGAACCCCTATTCCCCTCACAAAGGCATAAATCCCAGAGTTTCCTGGAAAGAGAGCTTATTTGACAAACCACTCTGGGAAATGCAGTTCTTTTAAGGGAAAAGGGCTGTCCTACCAACTTGCAGCACCCTTAACAAACTACAGTTCCCAGGATTCTTTTGGGAAATTTATGGCTGTTAAAGTGCTATAATAGTGCTTTAAATGGACAAGGATGTGGCCTGAACAAGAACCACAGCTTTTCCTATCTCACTCAGCATTATTATTTTTAACAATCAGCAATTTTAATATCTGAGCAGCAGTTATGTAACCTATAGATTGGTAGTCTGAAATATTAATTAATTTGGAATAAACCAAGTCCATTCCGTCTTCTGGCAGGCCTAGCGGAAATCCTGATAAGATATTTTTTCCTTCCCAGTAACACTGAATTTTTTCATTGTTATGATAAAATACAGGTGTGCTTCAAAATGAAACTTGCCTGACCAGCAGAAATTGAAGATATTTTTAGAACAAAGAGGACTTAAATCAAATTAATCTTTATCAGACAGGAGCATTTGCATTTGTATTACTGAGTGCAAAGCCATAGTCAAAACTGAAATAATAATAATAATAATAATAATAATAATAATAATAATAATAGGAAAATACTTACTTTTGCAATCTCTCTTCAATATATTGGAGAGAGCATGTATCTCACAACATTTATTGGATTAGCACTGCAACATGTTACCTTCAATGAGTGCAGGTTTACCATAATGAGAAGGTAGCTGAATGAATACTTCCATGGAGAGAAGTTAATGCAGTTTAATTATTTAATTTGATTGTTCCTAGATATTGATTTGCCATTTTTCTGTTGGAATATCTAAATGGTTTACAGCGATTTGCTCAAAAAGCAATCACCAAACGGACATGAACCATGACTAAATCACAGCCTAAAATGGTCTAAGAGGCAAAGAAGAAGCTTCCATATGCAGATCAGTCCATCTAGTTCAGGCCCCATTTGCACTACTCAGTTAAAGCACTATGGTACCACTTATTTGGCTTCCCCAAATAATTCTGGGAGCTGTAGTTCATTAAGGGAGCCGAGAGTTCTCAGGAGGTTTCTATTCCCCTCCCAGAGCTACAGTTCACAGAGTTCACTGTGAAGAGGCATTGAGAACTGTACACTGAGAACTGTAACTCTGTGTGGGAAATAGGAGTCCCCTTACCAAACAACAGCTCCCAAAATTATTTGCAAGAAACCATTGTTGTTTAAAGTAATATAAAACTTTTAAAAATATATAGTGCAAATGAGTCTCCCTCATGCCGGCTGACAACAGCAATCCAAGACACCAGACATTGAGCTTGGAAACTTCTACATGCAAAGCAGATGCTCTTATTATTGAGTTAGGATGTTCAGTGAAATCACCAGTAGACTGAATCAAGACAAAGTATGACAAACACCATGTGTGTTAGTTGGCTTCCTAGTGCCAGAATGCTTCTGTTATAGCAATATCAAGAACCTTCAGGTGAGTGAACACTCTTAATACCGTAACTATCACTTTCTAATGTCCTGTATTGACTTCCCTTTGACTTCACTGTATCCTTTCACTTCCTAGTTATGTGTACTGTCAGTAGTGGCCTGCTACTGGCATTGCTGTGACTTACTGGAGGGGCAAGATTGGCATGGCACAAATGTACCGATATGCACATCAGATTAGCTTGGCCGCTGTGTTTGCATCAGTCCAACCTCCCCTCCTCCTCCTCCTCCTCCTCCTCCTCAGTAAGCTGCAACACTGCTTGTGACAGGTCAAGTGTGTGTGTGTGTGTTTGTGTACCTGCAACGCAGATAACACTTCATGCATTTGTTGAAGTGGGTTGCAGTTGGCAAAAGGTTATACTATAAAAAATCAGTTTGTCTTTAAAACCCACAAGACCCTTTGTTGTTTTTGCTGCAGCAGACTCATTGATGCAACAACTCCTCTAGATGTGTGTTTTCTTCTAACCCTGTTCCAAATCTGTCTCAGACGTGAAAGAGAACGCTCAATGCTGCGTGCCCTGTATATAAAACCTTTGGTCCATCCCACAATTGGCAACATCAAAATTCCCCCAGTAACCCAAACAGCCCAGTCTCTGCCAATGGCCATCTAAACAATCCCGCCCAGCAACAGAGGGGTGGCCTGTCAGACTCCACTGCAACACGTGCTCTCCATGAAGGAAAACACGCTTTCCAAATCTGTCTCAGACGTGGTGTCTCCATGCACCAGAATGAGATAGGAAGGAAGGACTAGAGTTCCAAGTTGGTGCAAAGGGTCCTTGGTGCTAAAGGATCTTTAGACTGCAGGAATCATATTTTTAAATACTTCCACCCGCAGAATCCCCTGCAAACAGAAACTTGCTTGCCCAGAACCTTTCTCCCTGCTGTGTCAGGTTGATTTCTTTGTCTTTATTTGCAGGAATCGTTTGGAGGTTTGGTTGCTGCTGCTGTTGTTTGAATGCAGTGGAGCATTCCAAAAAGTTGTCCCACCACCACTTGCTTTCTGAAGTGATAACAGTACAGTGGTACCTCTGGTTAAGAACTTACAGTCATACATCGGGTTAAAGGAGCTTTGGGATGGGTATTTTCGGGTTGCGCGCTGCGGCGACCCGGAAGTAACGGAGCATGTTACTTCCAGGTTTCGCCGCTCGTGCATGCGCAGTCAAAATGATGTTGCGTGCATGCGCAGAAGCGGCAAATTGTGACATGTGCATGCGCGGACGCAGGTTGCGTTCGCTTCAGGATGCAAACGGGGCTCCGGAACGGATCGCATTCGCATCCACAGGTACCACTGTAATTTGTTCTGAGGTCCGTTCTTAAACTGAAGCTGTTCTTAACCTAAGGTACCACTTTAGCTAATGGGGCCTCCCGCTGCCGCCGTGCGATTTCCGTTCTGATCCTGAAGCAAAGTTCTTAACCTGAGGTACTATTTCTGGGTTAGCGGAGTCTGAACCTGAAGCGTATGTAACCCGAGGTACCACTGTACTCTGTGTCATCTCAGAGTTCTACCACCTCATCCTGCAACGTATGAAAATGAGGCTCCAGCTATTTTCCTTCCCCCTAAATCTTGTGGAAGTGAATTCCACATGTTAACCAGGCATTGTGTGAAAGGAGCATCAAACACCCGGTCAGTTTTCTTGGGTGACCTCAACTTAGAGCATTATGCAAGAACGGGGTGTCATGAGACAAAGGTTCCTGAGAGCAGAAGAAGCAGTAAGGCCTACAAGGCCTACAGAATCATTCAAGCCTAAGCCTGCTTTAACAGCAAACTGCTATGTCACTGAGACTCATCTTGGGTGACGACTCATTCTCCCTATAAAAGTAGCCAGCCTCTGTTTGTGTCTCAGCTGTTTGTGTGT